TTCAAGTTTTCTACTCACAAAAAATTTCACTGATCTGGGGAGCCCAACTTTGCTCACTTGTCGCTTTGTTTTGTGTCCTGTTTCAGCCTCGGGACTGCCCAGAGGCCAGAAGAGAAGCCAGAAGCACTTCATGGATGAAGGTGCTCACTAAAGCTTCACAAAAGACTGCATGAAGAGGTGCTTGATGGGGTCCATGGCAAAAAGGCAACAGACATGTAGGGATAGAAGAAATCTTGGAGAAAGCAGCCTCCCTCTTCTCTCATATCCTCTCTGCTTCTCTAATTCTCTACTTGCCTTTTCAGTCTTGCTGTGTTACCCTACCCTGTCCCCAGTGAAATGGGGAGGGGTTTCTCATTCATTCACCTCCGTGGTCTCCTCAATAACCTAATGATTTCTCATTTAGCTGCCCAGCCCTTGATGGCAAGAGGCTCCCTTTGATTGCTTGTGACACCAATATCACAACAAATTTAGCACCTTGTTTCCTGGAGGAGCCAATATTTCTCCTCAATTATCTCCCTGCAAGGGGCCAGGGTGCCATACATTCCAACTAGCAGCTTATGCCTTCCCTGATGTCAGAGTCAATTAAGCTCACAGTCCTCAGAAGGATGGATGGAATGGGGTGGGAGGAAGGTCTTGTGGGAGCACATGAGGGCTACAAGAGCAAGCAAAAGGCATAGGAAGGGGCAGAGGAACAGGGAGGATTGTGAGGAAAAGACAGAAGCTTCTGGACACCTGGCCCTCAACAAGTTTATATGTAGATTCTCAGAAATTGAAGGCGGTGATGGGAGAAGTTTGACCTTTGCTGAGATTCTGGAACTTCCTTCCCAAGCCACTCCTGATATCCTAGCTTTTCATTCAGCCACCCCCTAAACAATGGGCATGGACCTAATAGAGGGCAAAGGGGATGATCCTTGAATCATGCTATTTCACCCTAAAATGAAAAGGGAAAGAAGAGACACTTCCCTACTCTAGGTTCCTACTCTAGTATTCCTCCCATACCCTATATCTTTTCTGAATAAAATCACCTGCTACTGGCTGGGAGGCCAGAAGAGGCAGGTATCCTGAGGGGGATCTGCCTCACATGACTGATGAGTGAAGGTGAAAAGAAATTTATCGAGCCCAAGAGACTATGAGTTGGAGGGATGGGGCTGGAGGTTCTCTGAAGGGAGATGATGGTGGAGGAAAGGCAGACTAACACAAGAGCCAAAGGAAACTTCCATGGGACCCTAGAAAATGAATCAAAGGAGGTGAGAAGGAGTGATAAGAAAATACTGCTTTAGGGCAAGAAGGAAAACAAATGGAGCACAGAGAACCCTGAGAACACTGGAGACAGAAGCACCCCCAAAGTGTAAAAGATGGAACTATGAAAGCCTGGGGCTTGGAGGGATAGTAGTGCTCGGGAAGGAGGGTAAGGTGTGTGCATATTGTTTATCTGTAGTGACTATGGACAGAGATGGAGAAGGAGGGACAAGGCTCAGAGTCTCCTAGAACAAGTGAGAGAGGGCAGGATTCATTAGGCCCCACCTCTTGGAATGCACAATGCAGGACTCCAGCCAGGAAACGGGGAAGGAGGAATGGAGGAGGGAAACGGAAGGGACTGATCACTAAGAGGAATGGCAGGTGGTTGCTGTCATTAAATGGATTCCAGGAAGTCCAGGAAGCCTTAGGCAGCAGAGACAAGCTTGGGGGAGCAGTGAGAGGAGAGAATTATGGAGCAGAGCCTTGAAAAAAGGAACTTACACAGAAGCCTTACACCGACCTATATGGGTCCTACATAATCTGATCCTCATTCCTACTTCAACAATAACCTGAACCCAACCCCAACTCCATACCTAATCCTAACAATCATTCTAACCCCAAATCCTAGTGAGAAAATGTGTTGCTTCACATCTCAAATTCTCTCATTGCCTGGTCAGCAGAAGTGATAATAGGTGTTGATTGAAAAATAAGTACATGAACCAAACCTTCACCCCTATCCTTAAAAGTCACCCTTGCTTCAAGCCTATCCCATACTGGCCACTGATCAATCTCAAGATCAAGCTTTTACTATTTTCCCACCCCAATCCTAAAGGCTACTGTCCTCAATGACAATTTTACTTCACTCACTCAAATCTCAGTTTTTTTCTGTTCCCACACCCCTGGATAGATGGTTATAATTAATCTGGGCAAGCAAAGGTAGAGATAAATAAAATATTACCTGTTCAACCTGGAGGTCAAATCAAGGTGGGAATGGAGGCCCCTGAATTCCCAGGCTAGTTATAGGTGGTGGTTCCTGTCTCTAACCCAGATACCCAGAGCTTCTGCTTCAGGAGCAGGGTTCTAGGAAGTGGGGCTGATAAAGACTATAAACTTCAGGACAAAAAGAATGTGAGACTTGAGACACCAGGATGAGCAAGTTAGATTTGAAGAGGCATATTTGAGCAGAGAGAAATGCAACAAAAAGGAAGCGAACACAGTCCATATCAGAAGCCAGAGCCTGAACTTCTTCCACCCACAGCTGGGATCCCTCGCTCAGACACAGGGCACAGAAACTGTTCATAGGGCGCCTGTGGGAAGCCTGCATTGGGGAGGATGCTGTGAAGGTGCTGAGTTGCTCTAGAGACTCTGCTTATTTGCCACAGTACCTTTCCCTCTGGACCCTGTCCCTCCCTGGAAATTCCAAGGAGCAAAGCTCTCCGCATATCTCAGGACTTGTCACTGTGGCACCAGAGAAGCTGAGTATTATGTTCTCTTTTTGCTACAGCTGAATCTGATTTTTGGGACATGTGATGTATGAGCTGGGTTTGGGCCCCAGCTCGGGGAGTGGAATGATGGAGTACGTCTGTTACTCTTTTCCCATGTGATGAACCATCAGGTCCCAGATGTCTTCTAGAATGTGCACAGTTCACACATGTCTCCCTAACCAAGATCCATGGGAGACTGTAAAGCTCTCTGCAACCACTTTTTGATATAAAGAACTTTGAGCACCAAAGCACCTGCACAAGCTCCCTAAATTCTGCCAAAATCAGTATCAGGAATGCAGGTGTGAGAACTGCCAGCCCTGGGTTAGACCCATTGCCTCTGGTCAGCTGTCACATCTGAAGGGGCCACTTTGAGGAAAAGGGGTGGAAAGTCTGCCTCTGCTTGGTGAGGGGCTTCCAGGCATTTTTCAGTGACAGACATGAACCTTGAATGCCTTGGGCAGGGCAGGGAGGAAAGAGGACGAAAGGCAGTACAGAATAATAATGAAGGATTTTTAATAACTCATCAGCTATGGTGTCAGCTGAATGGCAGCAGCAGCACAACCTACTGGGAAAAGTTTGCGAGGAATTGTCTTCCTAGGAGTGAGAGGTGTCAGAAGGGCTGAGGGCAAGTGGAAGCATTCTTCTCACCCCAGCACTAAAAAGCTGTGAGTTAGCATCTAGCTGGTAGTGTAGAAGGAAGTGAAAACAAAATTATAGAGCCTTCAGCTTGGCCCTCTGGGGGCTTCCACTCTAGGCCAGACTCACAGGCCATAGACACGGCTGAAGAAAGAGCAATCTAAGAAGGCATTACAGGATACAGGCAAGCCACCCTCCAGGTAAACACCCTCCAACCTGCTCTATGAAATCAATCTGTTGGAAGACAATTACATGCTTATCAAAGGGCTTCTTTTCTTTTGAAGTAGGAGTGTCATCAAAGAATGTTACAGGGAGTCAGGTGATCACATTTTCAATGGCCTGATTTTGCAGATGGACACTGAAGTACAAAGATGCTACAAAGACAGCTGGTGACAGAGTAGGACTCCTAGAAACTAGAATTCCAGGTCTCCTAAAAGTTAATATATTATAAAAACATACTTTCCAAGGGTCCGACTGCTACAAAGAGGCCACTATCCTAGTTCTCCAGTGTGTCAGCATAAACTGCCCTTTGTGGGGGAACAATGGGAAAACTCAAGATAACTCACCATAACCACTATACATCTTTTCTTTTCCTCATTATCACTCTAGAATGGCTTTCTGGAAGCAGTCGCTTTAGATGTTGGCTGGGAAATGGAGACATTTCCTAAGCCTTTGGAATGATAAGTGGTGAATGACTCAGTGGCATGAATACAGGGGAATATTGTAGGTCTGTGAAAAGCCCTGGAAAGGAATGAAAAAAAATGGGGCTACTTCTCATACACATCTGTGAAAGACTCAGGGGCTATGATGGGAGGGCTGAGAAAGGTTCCAGGTTTTAGAAGGTCAAAAAACCTTCAGGATTAGTGGCTCTGAACAGACTACCAGGTCAATAGAAATGAGCTAGCTTGGTCCCCCTGGAAGTCTCAGGAGCCAGCAGAGTGTCCAATATCCCCACAAACCCAAAATAAAGTAGAGAGGAGGGTGTCACCTCTCAGTTGCCTTCACTTTAGGGAACCAGGGGACTCATATCTGTATCCCATCCACTCCTAAGAGCCCCAAAAGGTAGTAGCACCTCTGTATCCCAAGCCCTGGCACATAGCAGGCACTTAATTAGGGTTTGAGGAATGAAAATGCTGGGGCCTTTCTAGATGGTACATGAGGAGAAATGTGGGTCTGGAAGAAATGAGTGGGGGTGACAAGGGGAGACACCTCCACACCCTGGCAGGAGGCCAAGACTGAATGAGTCCTCCCCATTTCAGAGAGAAACTAAGGCACATGTTCCAGAGAAAAATGTCTTCAAAGGAATCTGTCAGCCAGCCCCACAGCCCCAAGTTTAGGCAGCCAGCTCCCTTGGCTGGCCAGCCACTCTGGAAAATGTAAAGTACTATCTAAACGTGATATGTTATTAACACTTTAGAAATATTTAACAGCCACCCAGCTGGAGCTGGGAAATGAGTTGTTCCTCCTGCTTTCTGGCTGGGGGATTATTGTTGGAGCCAAATGTGACAGCTGTGACATGTGACTGAGGGACAAAGAAAGGTGGTTGAGGGTGGAGGTCATGGGCACTCACCTAGGACAGGTCCTGCGTGCTCTTCCTCTATTTGTGGTCTTGAATCAAACACTCAGCCCTGACCAGTCAAGATGGCTAAGCTGACCCCTGCCTTTCCTACCTCTCAAAACTTCAGAAGTCCCTGGAAGAAGGCAGATAGAGCTGTGACCCAGCCTCTTATGTCTAGGCCACTGATGCTGCACCTCTGCAGGTACAGCTTGAACCTCATGAGAGTCACAAGGGCAGAAAATCTAGATGGATGATGGGCCCTAAGTCACTACTACAGGACTTCACAGATGAGAGTATAGAGAAGGCTGGGGAAGAGTGCAATGAAGAGAGAGCTGAGGGAGTGTCCTGGATGGATTGAGTGGATTCCAGGCAGGCCCTGATGTGAAAAGGGGAATGGTGTTGACAAAAAGGGACTGGTTTTGCATAACTGGCTGGAAGGAAAGGACTGGGTAGGAAAGGAAGTTGGGGGGCTATACCTTGGGCAGAAAGGAAGAAATAGGCACTGAGCTGCATCCTCTTGTCATTGGAGAATCACCAGCCATGGAACACGGAGGAAGGAGGGAGGGGAAGGAGAGTCTTCCCTGCAAAGACCAATGCCTGCTCTGTGGTAAGAAAGGCCTCATGTGGTGGATGTGGAAGAGGGAAAGTTGCCAAAGTTGCTGCCATCCCCATCCCAGGATCCAACCCTGGTCTACCTTGAGGTGCTGGGCTCCTGTCCATGTGCTCTGTTGGCAATGCAGGCAGCTTGTGATTACACAGGGGACAGAGACAAATGAATTTTCAATTAAAACCTGAACTGAGGGGCACATAGATGCAAATGCAGGGGGGTTTGATTCTTTTCTAAGCCAGCCTTCAAAATCTGCAGTGCCTAGAAGAAGATGTAGGGAGAGTGCCTAGGCAGTCCTGGTGCTATATAAATTCTACTCATAATTACATGACTTTCAATGCCGTGATTGGGTTAGCCAAAAAGTCTGTATGTTTTTTTTCCCATAAAATAAGGACACATTTTTCATTATTACTAATAACTTTATTGATTTGGATATTTTGAGTATGTTGGCTACCTCCCACATGGTATGACATTCATTGTTCTTAATTAATGTCTTGATTTGCTCACTATCAACTTCAACTGGTCTAACCAACCATGAGGCTTTTTCCAGTGAGAAATGTCCAGCACAAAACTTCGCAAACCTATTTTGACACATTTGATCGGTCATAGCACCTTCTCCATACACTGCACAAATCTTTTTTGTGTTTCAGTTGCATTTTTACCTTTCTTGAAATAATAAAACAAAATAAGCTAAAGTACATATTTTCTTCCATCTTCAATATTAAAATGGCTACATAAAAATTCACCAATTTTGATGTTTATTTAAAATGCATGCTGATATGACAGCTATCACAATATAATCTAACAAAATTGTTTTGAACGAAGTTTAAGAAAACTAAGCACTACTAGGGCCATCTTACAGAAAAAACCAAATGAACTTTTAGGCCAACCCAATATTTGCAAGTTACATAAATTAACAGTATGTTGACATTCCCAAGAAGGTGCTTGGACAGCCAGGACACAGGGAGGAGGCTGCTGCATCTGCCTATGAGGCTGGGAATGTCTAGACTGCTGCTCCTCTACTTCTCAGCAAAAATCCATGATATTCAGGCCTGGACCTGCCAGCTCATCTTTTTGGGACTCCCAACACTGGGATCAAGGAGAGTGGTCTGTGGAGCTGTGGAATAGATGTTGGTGGATGACAACAAATATCAGGCTATAGGAGCTGAGACTCCTACAGGAGCAGAGGCTCTCTCTGCTTCCTGAGTCTGATCTCTTTCCTCACTCCCATCTCATTCAGGAGGACCAACAATAGGCTAAGCAACCCTGAGCTGCGTCCTTCTCATTTAGTCAGTTCAAAGTTCTTGGAGCTTAGATTCAGTCAAGTGCCAGCTCTGCCTCTCAGGGCCCCAGCTGCATCAAAAGTAAAACAGGAATAGTGAATGGCCCAAGAAAGGAGGCAGCAAGAAAGCACAAAGCCCTCACTGAGAATGCCTAATGAAGTGCATATGCCCATCATACCCCACCTCCACTCATAGTTTATGCAGTAAGCTTGTCAAGGTCAGGAACTTCACCTTCCCCATCTACTGTTTCAATGTCCCCAAGTACAGGCCTCTCTGTAGGAGTAGATATTTGATAAAATAAATCTTTGTTGAATTAAACAGAATCAAGAGAGATAGGGCATGGAGAATTCTAATGTCAATTTAGTGGGGGTAGATTTTTGCAAAGAGAACAACAAACAACACCTGCTAGGTTTGAACTCCAGCTCTGACATTTACTACTAGGGAGACCATGAATGAGCCAGCATCCCTTCTCAAGGCCCTGGTTTCCTCATCTGAAGTGGACATGCTGCACATATCTGTAAGATGCCTCCAACTCTTGAGACGGTATAACAGTGAGTGGGTTCTGTGAACCATTCTGAGAAAATGCCATGTTGAGTTTCTGGAACAGACTTAGGTTGGTCAAAAGCATGTTACTCGGGACTCAGCAAGCTGTTTGGGATAATCAAAAATTATATAATACTAATAATGATGCTTTCACAAACATCCACAGGCAACTTGTTGAAAAGAAATCTGGCGGCGTCACCACCATTCCCAAGAGAGAGGCGGAAGGGGATGTTAATGGGGATGAAGCTGAAGTGAGCCCTGGCCAGGTACCTCAGTTGGCTGGAATGTAGTCCCATAGAACAAAAGTTGCAGATTCAATTATGGGTCAAGGCACATACCTAAGTTTCATATTGGATCCCCGATCAGGGCATGCACAGGAGGCAACTGATGGATGTTTCTCTGATGTATCTCTCTCACATTGATGTTTCTCTCTCTCTCTCTCTCTCTCTCTCTCTCAAATCAATAAGCATATTCTCAGGTGAGGATTAAAAAAAAAAAGAGCCAAGGTGAATGATGAACCACAGAAATTTTCCAGGTTATCTGTTAAATTTGCTCCTCCAAAGCCAGAGCCCAAGGCTAAAAAGGCTCCTGAAAATAAAGGAGAAAATGTATCCAAAGGGAAATAGGGCAAAACTGATGATGAATAACCCTGCAGAAAAAAGAGATGCCAAAACAGACCAGTCACAGAAGGTTGAAGGTGTGGGAGATGCCAAGTGAAGTCTGTGCATTTTTGAAAACTATGTACTTCTGGTGACTGTACAGCTTGAAATACTACTTTTTAATCAAGTTTTATAAAAATGTAGAATTTTCTTTTACTTTTATTTAAAGCAATGTTGTTAGCACACAAGACACTTCATTGTTATTTTTTGGGGAAGGACATATATCACCAATAGAATGTCTCCAAAGCTGAGTTGACATGGGAAAAAGAAAAAAAGAAATAAAAACATAAACCCTTTACCTTTTAGTTTCAAGAGACTTCCTCTTGTTTCCTCAGAGAAGAGATCTCTTGAAGTTGACATGTTAGCTACCTTGGCACAAATATCTTGTGGTGTGGAAAACTGTTTTTTTATGTCCCTTTCTCACTCTCCACTTTAAACATAGACTTGAATCGCTTAAATTCAAAGAACCGTAGGGACCTGACCCCCGAAAATTGGTTACCACTATGTCAGGCAATCTGGCCTTTTCAGTGTCACCAGTGAGACGGCATCCCTCAAAAAAGTAGTTCCTACCCTGGCTAGTGTGTCTCAGTGGATTGAGTGCCAGCCTGAGAACCAAAGAGTCGCCAGTTTGATTCCCAGTCAGGGCATATGCCTACGTTGCGGGCCAGGTCCCCAGCAGGGGGTGTGCGAGAGGCAACCACACATTGATGTTTTTTTTCCCCTCTTTCTCCTCCCCCCCTACAAATAAATAAATAAAATCTAAAAAATTTAAAAAAAGCAGTTCCTATAAAAGAACCTATGCATCCCAGTGTTCATAGCAGCACAATTTACAATAGCCAAGTGCTGGAAACAGCATAAATGCCAATCAGTAACGAGTGGATCAAAAAACTGTGGTACATTTACAGAATGGAATACTGCAGAGCAGAAAGAAAGAAGGAACTCCTACCCTTCGAGACAGCATGAATGAAACTGGAGAGTATTATGCTAAGTGAAATAAACCAGGCAGTGAAAGACAAATACCGTATGATCTCACCTACAAGTGAAACCTAATCAACAATACAAACAAGCAAGCAAAATAGAACCAGAGACATGGAAATAAAGAACAAACTGACAGTGACCAGAGAAGAGGAGGGACGGGATAAGAAGGGAAAGAAGGGTAAGGGTCAAGTCAAAGAACATGTATAAAGTACCCATGGACAAAGACAATGGGAAGGATGATTGAATGTGGAAGGTGGGAAGCAGGTAGGGCAGGGGATAGTAATGGGGGAAAAATGGGGACAACTGTAATTGAACAACAAAAAATTTTTTTAAAATATTAAAAAATAAAAGCAGTTTCTGCTTTACATTGTGGACCTACAGATAGATAATTCTTTTCATTTCATTTCCTGAGAGTCAAGGTAAACTTGTGAAAGTTGTTCAACATGCTTAATGTATACATTAATTCAACATTGTATAATGTTAACATTGTATAATGTTAAGCCTCACTATAAGTTTTCCCACTCTGAGCATTAAATGAAGACTTCATTTGGTTTCATAAAGGCTTTATGATTTTGACAGTACATTGAAGAAGGGAGTTTGAAAGTTGTATTCTATTAACGATCGTCTGCCCATGTCCTGCCTGAAATACCATGATTGGTCATGAAAAATATCTTTAATAAAGCTGGACACAGTATGGCTTGGGAAAAATATCTTGTATATAACTTCTATGGAAGAGTTTCTTTTTTTTTTTCTTTTAAATTTATTTATTTATTTTAATAAATAAAATAATACATCTGTCTCTGCCTCCCCCCCACCACTTTCCTTTGTCCCCTCCATCCTTCCCTCCCTCAGCTCTTCCCCTTTGGTTTTGTCCATGAGTCCTTGTTATATGTTCCTTGACTTTCTCCTTCCCTTCCCTTTCCCTGCACCCCCCCCTTCCCTCTTGTCCCTGTTGATTTCTTTTCCTTTCAGTGTTGCTGGTCATATTTTCCTTGCATCTTTGTATTGTTGGTTAGGGTCCGCTGATAGGTGAGATCATATGGTATTTCTCTTTCGCCCCCTGGCTTATTTCAGTTAGCATAATGCTCTCCAGTTCCATCCATGCTGTCACGAAGTTTAGCAGTTCTTTTTTTCTTTCTGCTGCGTAGTATTCCATAGTGTATATGTACCATTACTTTTTGATCCAATCATCTACTGATGGGCTTTTAGGTTGCTTCCAACACTTGGCTATTGTAAATTGTGCTGCTATGAACATTGGAGTGCATAGGTTCTTTTGTACTGGCATGTTGGTGTTCTTAGGGTATAGTCCCAGCAGGGGAATCACTGGATCAAAAGGCAGTTCCATTTTCAGCTTTTTGAGGAAATTCCACACTGCTTTCCACAATGGCTGCACCACTCTGCATTCCCACCAACAGTGTACAAGGGTTCCCTTTTCTCCACAGCCTCGCCAGACCCTGTTGTTTGTTGATCTGTTTATAATGGCCATTCTGACCGGTGGGAGGTGGTACCTCACAGTGGTTTTGATCTGCATTTCTCTGATGGTTAGTGATACTGAGCATACTTTTAAATGCCTCTGGGCCCTCTGTATCTCCTCCTTGGAAAAGTGTCCACCCAGGTCCTTTGCCGATTTTTTGATTGGATCCTTTGTCTTCTTGGAGTGGAGTCGAGTGAGTTCTTTATATATCTTGGCGATCAAACCTCTATCTGATGTATCATTAGCGAATATATTTTCCCATAGGGTTGGCTCCCTTTTCATTTTGCTGATTTTTTCTTTAGCCTTCAGAAGCTTCTTATTTTGATGAGGTCCCACTTGTTTATTCTTTCCTTGATGTCCCTTGCTTTAGGAGACATATCAGTGAAAAAATTGCTGTGTGGGATATCTGAGAGTTTCCTGCCAATGTTCTCCTCTAGCACTTTGATGGTGTTGTGACTTATATTTAAGTCTTTTATCCATCTTGAGTTTATTTTTGCGTATGGTGTCAGCTGATGATCCAATTTCAATTTTTTGCATGTAGCCGTCCAGCTCTCCCAACACCACTTGTTGAAGAGGCTATTATGGCTCCATTTTATGCTTCTGCCCCCTTTGTCAAATATTAGATGTCCATAGAGACCTGGGCTTATTTCTGGGCTTTCTATTCTGTTCCATTGGTCTATGGGTCTGTTCTTGTGCCAGTACCAGATTTTATTTATTATAGTGGCTTTGTGGTACAGTTTGATGTCCGGTATTGTGATCCCTCCTACTTTGTGTTTCTTTCTCAAAATGGCTGCGGCTATTTGGGGTCGTTTATGGTTCCATATAAATTTTTGAAATGTCTGTTCTATTTCTGTGAAATACGTCATTGGTATCTTAATAGGGATTGCATTGAATCTATAAATTGCTTTGGGTAGTATGGACATTTTGAGGATATTAATTCTTCCAATCTATGAGCACGGTATATGCTTCCATTTATTTGTGTCTTCCTTAATTTCTTTTTTCAATGTTGTATAGTTTTCTGCATACAGGTCTTTTACGTCTTTGGTTAAATTTATGCCTAGGTACTTTACTTTTCTTCTTGCTATATCGAATGGTATTTATTTTTTGATTTCTTCTTCTTCTATTGCATTGCTGGTGTACGAAAATGCCTTTGATTTCTGAATGTTGACTTTGTATCCTGCTGTTTTGCCAAATTCACTTATTAGGTAGAGGAGTTTTTTGGTAGAGTCTACAGGGTTCTCTATGTACACTATCATGTCATCTGCAAACAATGATAGCTTTACTTCCTCCTTTCCTATTTGGATGCCTTTTATCTCTTTCTCTTGTCTAACCGCTGTGGCTAGGACTTCCAATACGATGTTGAAAAGAAGTGGTGAGAGCAGACATCCTTGTCGTGTTCCCGATCTTAGTGGGAAAGCTTTCCGTTTTTGCCCGTTGAGTATGATATTGGCTGTAGGTTTTTCATATATGGCCTTTATTATGTTGAGGAATGCCCCATTTATTCCCATTTTGCTGAGTGTTTTGATCATAAATGGGCGCTGTACCTTATCGAATGCTTTTTCTGCATCTATTGAGATGATCATGTGGTTTTGTCTTTAATTTATGTGATGTATCACGTTTACTGATTTGCATATATTGAACCATCCCTGCATCCCTGGGATGAATCCCACTTGATCGTGGTGGATAATCTTTTTAATGTATTGCTGGATGCGGTTTGCCAATATTTTGTTGAGGATTTTAGCATCTATGTTCATCAGCGAAATTGGCCTGTAGTTTTCTTTCTTTGTGGGGTCTTTATCTGGTTTTGGGATCAGGGTGATGCTGGCCTCATAGAAAGAGTCTGGAAGTCTTCCCTCCTCTTGGATTTTTTGGAATAGTCTGAGAAGGACAGGGGTTAGCTCTTACTTAAATGTTTTGTAAAATTCTCCTGGGAAACCGTCGGGCCCTGGGCTTTTGTGTGCTGGGAGTTTCTTGATGACTGCTTCAATTTCCCCAGCTGTTATTGGTCTGTTCAAGCTTTCTGTTTCTTCCTCCTTCAGTGTTCGAAGATTATACTTTTCTAAAAATTTGTCCATTTCTTCAAGGTTTTCAAAATTCTTTGCATATAATTGTTCATAATAGTTTCTGATGATCATTTGTATTTCTGTGGTATCAGTTGTGATTTCTCTCTTTCCTTTCTGATATTATTAATTTGGGTCCTCTCCCTTTTTTCCTTGCTGAGTCTGCTTAAAGGCTTGTCAATTTTATTTATCTTTTCAAAGAACCATCTTCTGGATTGGTTGATCCTCTGAATTGTTCTTTTTGTCTCTATGTCATTCAGTTCTGCTCTAATCTTGATTATTTCCTTCCTTCTACTTGCTCTGGGATTTATTTGTTGTTGTTTCTCCAGTTCTTGAAGTTGTAGTGTTAGGTCTTTTATTTGAAATGTTTCTATCTTTTTTAGGTAAGCCTGTATTGCTATGAACTTCCTTCTCAGGACCGCCTTTGCTGTGTCCCATAGGTTTTGGACAGTTGTCTGTTCATTTTCATTTGTTTCCAGAAATTTTTTGATTTCTTCTCTTATCTCATTATTGACCCATTCATTGTTTAATAGTGTACTGTTTAGT